TTTTCTGTTACAGATCATTAATACTAAAGAATTTGTGTTCACAGAATTGTTTTGTGTTCTTTTAGGAAATTAATTCTGATCAGGCTACCCAGGGCAACATCAGCAGTGACCGAGGAAAGAAAAGAACAGTTCCAGCAGCTGGTGCAGAGAATATCCAACAAAAGACAGATGAGAAAATAGATGAATCAGGACCCCCTGCCCCTTCCAAACCCAGGAGAGGACGTCGACCCAAGTCTGAGTCTCAGGGCAACGCAACCAAAAATGATGATATAAACAAACCCACTAGCAAAGGAAGGAAAAGAGCTGCAGCAAGCCAGGAGACCCCAGGGGGTTTGGAAGCGGGTAACGCCAAAGCACCCAAACTGCAAGATGGAGCCAAAAAGGCCACGCCAGCAGAGAGACAGATCGACCTGCAAAGGTAATGACACCTCCTCCAGAACTTAGACTTGAGACCTTGTGTTCTTTGTGTGTGCCAATCACCACAAACACCCCGCACACTTAGGTATTTGGGAGTGAGAGCAGCTCTTCGTTTTCCTGCTAATGTTATAATCTTCAGTTTAAAGGTACTGGTTTGAAGAAGGGCCAGGCATGGTGGTCCACACCTGTAATCCCGACTCTGGGGAGGCCGAGGCCAGAGGATTGCCTCTAGCTCGAGGCCACCCTGTAGTACATAGTAACTTGAAGGCCCCTGTCTCAAAACAAAATAAAACAAGTGATTTGAAGAAATAACTCCTTTTTCTGTTGTTAAATTTCTATATAGGATACAGCAGTTTGATACTGCTATTAATTCTTTTTTTTTTTGGTACCGGGGATCAAACTTGGGACCTTGCACTTTCGAGGCAGGCGCTGGAACCACTGAGCTGAATCCCTGGCCCCGATACTGCTATTTATTAGCAAGAAGGAGGTTATCTCTTGCTGGATGTCCTTCACATGGTTGCCTGGGTTTACAGAAACAAAGGGCTCTGTTTCAGATATGGAGCCCTGGAATGGAGGAGATAAGTTATGAATTATGCACAGGTGCCCCTGTGCTTAATGTTTTTTGTTGTAGTTAATTCTGGTACAGGTCAACAACTTATTTCTCTCCTCCACGTTCCAGTGGAACAACCTCACAGATGCTCAGTTTTGACCACTCTTAAGCTAGAATTTCAGGTTTCCTACATTGTAACGGTTTTCCTTCCTTTGGAAACCTAAGTGGAGGTTCCTTCCATACTTGGCCTACAATTAGAACTCACCCTCTCTCCACACACCTGACTTACCTGCCCTAAATTAGATTTTTTTTTTTGGTACTGGGGGTCAAACTTGGGACCCTGTGCTAGAAAGGCAGGTGGTAGCATCACTGAGCTAAGTCCCCAGTCCCCTAAATTAGATTTTAAGCACCTGAACTCCGTCTTGCTCCACAAGAAGCACAGCTTTGATCAGCTCAGAGCACCCCCATTATCTTGCCTCCGTGTTTTCTCTTGAAACCCAGACGGTTGAGCAGGAGCAACATGTTGCTTCATTAACCAGATAGTATCTTATTAATAAACCTTATTAATAAAATAGCCATATCAAGGATTGTCCTAAGAATTAAATGAGTCAATAAATAGCCGGGCATGGTATGGCACATCTAATCCCAGCATTCAGGAGGCTGAGGAAGGAGGATCTCCATGAGTTTGAGGCCATCCTGGGCTACATAGTAAGTTCAAGGCCAGCCTGAACTACACAGCGAGACCTTGTCTCAAAAATAAAAAAGTAAATAAAAACAAAGCATTCAGCATCATGCTTAGTGTAGAACAAATGCTTGGCATTGTTGCCACTACCACTGTTTTGAAATTTAGTTGCCTTACTCCTTAGGATACATTTTCAGGCATAGTATCTTCTCTTATCAGTTTAACATTTTCAATTATACAGAAGTCAAGCAGTACCCTGGAGATTGCCAAAACTGTCCATAGTTTCTATCCTGGCTTTTATTCATACACAGGGAGAAATACTGCTCATCACACACACACAAGCCACCTAAGCCACCTGACCATCCCTCCCACTAGGTGCCCTTTTAACATTCACCAGAATGTCAATATAGTAGCACCTCAGTTCATAAACTTAGTCCCACGATTCTGGAAAAGATGGCCATGTTCACATTCATTCAGGAAAGATGACCATGGTTGTGTTCCTCACCAGTACAGAGTTTGCACACAAAAATAAAATTTTGCCAAACACTTCTGTTTGCTAAACTGAATTGTTCACAAACAAAAGCATTTGTGATCTGAGGTACGGCTTCCCCTTTTCAGTAGCAGCCAGACCTTCTCTGAGTGAAGGCATTGTGAAATCTATTTGTCTCTATAGCTATGTTCTCTTTTTTTTGGGTACTGGGGATCGATCTCAGGACCTTGCGCTTTCGAGGCAGGCGCCGGAACCACTCACCTAAATCCCCAGCTCTATATAGCTATGTTCTTAAACCAAAAACAAAAAAATATCTTGCATACCAGAGATTGATTTTGATTAAAAATGGCATTTTATAAAGTTTGAGTGAAACAGTCTAGTTATAGTGACAAACGCCTATATTCCCAGCACTCTAGAGGCTGAGGCAGGAGAATCACCACAAGTTTGAGGCCAGCCTGGGCTACATAGTGAGTTCAAAGCCAGCCTGAACTACATAGCAAAATCTTGTCTTCAAAAAGAAACAAAAAAATGGAAGGTTACCTTAGTAACCTTCAAGTAGCCAGTTAGTTTGATAAGTACTCAATGGTCTATTATTCAAAATGCAGAATTCTGTGTCTTTTTTATTCTTAGTGAAGGTAGATGATTAAATTAGATATATAGCCTTCTACTGAGTTAATTCAGCAGAGTAGATCAAACATTTTGTCAAAGGATTTCAGAAATTTCTAATTGAATTATTGACTAACTCATGATTAAGTCTGAGGCAGAAGAAGGTTTCAAGTCAGAGCGCAGCCTGGTCAATTTAGCCAAGTCCTATCTCTAAAAATAAAACTTAGGGCCAGGGATTTAGCTCAGTGGTTCCACCACCTGCCTCAAGCAAAGGTTCCGAGTTCGATCCCTGGTACCCAAAAGATAAAAATAAAATATATTTTGAAAGTTTTCACAAGCTCTTTTTTTCTCTTTTCTGGACTTATGTACAGCTATGCCCTTCAGTCCTGGTATTTTGACAGAGGCTTAAAATCCTGATTAACTATATTCAGATGAATTATATTTTAGAAAGTTAATATTGCTGGTCTCCGAAAGTCAGTATTGAAATACGGCTCGTGGTAACCCCACTCAGATTTGAAAGCATTGTAGTTATACACTTGCTCCTTGAACTTCTCATTAATTCTTTTCACAAACACCCTTACTGGTTTGCACCTATGCGTGTTGAGCATGAGCAACACAAAAGTTCCCTAAGTGAACTGGTTGATCCTTGCTCTTAAAGAGTACACGCGGTGGGATCACAAACTACAGTGAATGTTTAAGTTTTTAAAAATTAAAAGACACATTGTCATTAGTCTTTAGAATACTCCTGCTCACTTTAAACTCATTTACCCTATCATTCTTGCCACTTGCAGCTCTGGAAGTAGTCTTTCATTAGTATCTTTAGTTGCACTGTTGTAGCTGCCTGGATTTCCTGAATTGACTCCAGATGTTTACCTTTCATGGTCATTTTGACTCTGGGTAGGTAAGAGCAGCAATCAGGTTGTCACAGATATGGTGAATATGGTGGATGAAGACGCACCTTAACTTGTTCATAGCTGCCTTTCCGCTGGGTGGCGCCCCGCAGCAGCCATTGTATGTTGATCAATCTAGTAAGGGCCTGAAAGAACTTCCCAAACTGCTTGGGAAAGTGGCAAGAATGGCGGATAGATGTATTTGAAGCGAGGAGTGTGCTGAGGGGGATTAAGAGCAATCTGAAAAAAAAAAGAGCAATCTGTATTTTACTGTAATTTTTTTTTTTTTTTTTTTGGTACCAGGGATCAAACTCAGGTCCTTGCACTTCCGAGGCAGGGGGCAGAACCACTGAGCCAAATCCCTGGGCCCCTGTAATACATTTTTTTAGTTTTAAACATTCACCATGTATTTTGATCACTCTTTGTACTTCCCCAGCTTATCATTTCCATGAGAAAACAGAAAACATTCCCATTATTTCTGCTGATTAATACAATAATACCATAAAATTATTTTTAGCTGGGCGTAGTGACACCTGTAATCCCAGCTCTTGGGAGGCTAAGCCAGGACAATCGCCACATATTCATAGCCAGCCTGGGCTACCTAGTGAGTTCCAGGCCAACCTGGGCTATATAACAAGACCCTTTTTCAAGAAAAAAAATTTTTTCAAATTCATAGTGCAACTGGGTATTTAGATCCATGGTGCCGCTGCCTGCCTCCAAAGCGCAAGATCCCAAGTTTGATCTCTGGTAACAAAAAAAAAATTCATAGTGCTATCAAATGGAATGGTGGCTGCCAGGGGAAGGGGAGCAGGGCTTAGTGTTTATTCTGGGTGGAGTTTAAGTCTGGGGAGCTAAGTCCTGGAGCTGGCTGGTGCTGATGGTTGTATCACAGTGTAACTCTGCCTAACACTACTGACCTGTGTACTTAGAAATTTTGAAAGTGGTACATTTAGGGAGATGTTTTTTATATATTAGGCCCTAGATTCAGTTCCCTACATCATCTCCCACCCCCCAAAAAAGAGTTAGTGTGTAAGCCTCAGTGAATTGTGGAATAGAAACATTAAAACACAGTTCCTGGCTGGGCATGGCAGTGCACACCTGTAATTCTAGCACTTGGGAGGCTGAGGCAGGGGATCTCTATGAGTTTGAGGCCATCCTGGACTCCATAGTGAGCTCAAGGACAGCCTGAATTTCATAGGGAGACCCTGTCTCAAAAAACAAACAAGCACAAGGTCCTGGGGCTGGGGCAAAGCTGAGTGGTAGAGCACTTACCTAGCATAAAACATGAGCTCCTGGCCAGGCCCTGGGCTCACACCTGTAATCCCAGTACTCCACAGGCTGAGGCAGGATGATTGCAAGGTCAAGGCCAACCTGAGCTACATAACAAGTTCAAGCTAACCTGGACTGTATACCAAAGCCCTGTCTCAAAACGCACAGGTGCATACAAACTCAACCTGTGTTTGAACTGTGCCTTAGTTTTCAGAGAAAACTTTTTTGGTTTGTTTTGGTTTTTGGTTTTTTGAGACAGAGCCTTGCTTTATAATTCAGGCTGGCTCTGAACTCTACTATATTGTCCAGCCTGGCCTCAAATTTGCGGCAATCCTCCTGCCTAGGCCTCAGCAGTGCACCACCACGCCCAGCTTCAGAGAAAACTATGAAAGGGCAAAATCGTGAAGAGGCCTGCCAAATTTTTTTAATTGGTCTTTTTCGTTTTGTTTGTTTGCATTTGCAGTGTTGGGATTGAACCCAGGGCTTTTGCACTGAGCTACATCCTCAGTCCTTTCTTTTCCCACTAGCCCTTTTAATTTTTTGAGATAGTTTTCATTGATTGCCCAAGCTGGGCTCAAAGTGGTGATCCTCCTGCCTCAGCCTCTCAGGCGCATCCACTGCACCCAGCTTCAACTTTATTTTTACTTCATGCATAACTGTAGCTTCCTCCTACCTGAGCTTCTAAACATGGTTCTCATTAGCTGCAAATATTACTTATGAGAGATTTGACATTCTGCTTGTATTTTCCTGAGAACTGGTCGGGATCCATCAGATCCCTGTTAGAGCCACATGACTGATTCTGGTCCGTAGCGCCTTACATCTTGTTACCACCACCATCGAAGTTCTGCTGGGGAGAGAAGGGAGCCCCAGAGCACCACCACACCCAGCCCTAAATTTTAATGCAAACCATTTTTGAGGCCGAAGTCTAGGCAGGCCACCCACAGTCTAGATGCTGTATATTTGTTACTCCAGTTGGTGCTTTAGCCCTGTGAGATAGACTTAGGGTAGGTGCTACCTCTAGTCTATGGGAAGTACTAACACTGGGAGGCTGAAGCAGGAGGATTGCTCACAGGTTTGATCTCAGCCTGGGCTGGAGATGTAGCTTAGTGGAAGGGGGAGAATATGACTATATCTGTCTACTGCAGGGGTGGTGAACCTGTGGCACATGTGCTGCACAGTGGGCTGTTTGTATCGTTGAAAGCTCTAAAAGGCTCACCATCGCTGATCTGTAGGATATCATCTTTGGAGTCACATGTTTTACTTTATGTTCAAGGGTCTTAGAATTTTTCTCAAGGGGAGGGCCGGGGATTTAGCTCAGTGGTTTCGCCACCTGTTTCGCAAGCCCAAGGACCTGAGTTCGATACCCGGTACGAAAAAAAAAAAGGAATGAGAATGAATTTTTCTCAAGGAAATAATCTATGAGCTCCTGCATACACCAGGTTTCTTCACATCATGTGGGTTTATAGCTTAGAATTAAAGAAACGTGTGTGTCTGCCCTCATGGGGTAAACAATTAGAAATCAGTGTGATAAAATTCTTTCAGGGTTTGATCTTGGGTGAGCCATGAAAAAGTGCTCTTCCTCTCAAGCCAGGAGTCCTTGGGGGAAGAGGTTGGGGGTTCTTGGTGTGTCTCTTGGGGTGGTGTCGCATTTAGGTGGCCTTAGGGGTAGTCCCGCTAGCAGCAGAGCAGGGCTCCTTCTTCCCCCACAGCCTCAGCAGCATTTGCTATTGCTTGATTTCTTGATGATGGCCATTCTTTCAACCCAAAGTATAAATAAGGAGCAAACGAAAGGATAGATGTTAGAAAGTAGGAAGAACTTTTTCAAATGGGAAAGGGAACAAGAGATGGGAATGGGAAAGGAGGGAAGGGAAAAGGGATTTGACAAAAAAGGATTGAAGGAAAATATTAGAAATGGAGCTTTTGCCAGTGGGGAGGAGAGGAAGGGTAGGAGGGAGGGGAGGGGAGGGGGAAAGCAAACAAAAAATAAAAGAATATCCTTTCAGTAACAAGTGAGTTTTTCTCAGTGTGAAATTAGTACTACATTTGGATCATCTTAAAATTCTGTGAGAACAAACAGGAAGACACAGTGGACTCAGAAAGGAAAGGGGAATTTCCTAGAAGTACAGCAGGCAGCATTTTGCTTATTATAACTAGTTAAGTTTCAGAGAATCTTAATCATCATTTATCTTTAGCACTGTCACCTTTATAAAATACATAAAAAGAGGCTGGGCATGGCACAGAGGTACAGGCCTGTGATCCCAGCACTCAAGAGAGTGGGGGAGGAGAGGATTATTTAGTTCGAGGCCAGCCTAGCTAATAGTGAGACTCTGTCTTATTAAAAAAGAAAAACGGCCGGGGATTTAAGCTCAGTGGTTCCACCACCTGCCGCGAAAGCGCAAGGTCCTGAGTTCAATCCCCGGTACCAAAAAAAAGGAAAGGAAAGACAAAAGCAAAATAAAGCCAAAAAGAATGTATGAAAAGGGAACGATGTACACAAGGTATGCTACTAATGCCTCACCCCTAAATAAGCAGAATGCAGCTCTTGGGACAAAAGACAACCAAGGCAGAGCCAGCATGCTCAGCTGCCTGCCCTGGCCATGCGACTGCCCAGCCTGTTACCCTGTGACCAGCACTGAGCTCCGTAGTCTTCTTGCCTGGGGCGGGGTAGGGGGGCAGTACTGGGGGTGGAACTCGGGACCTTGTGCTTCCCAGGCAGGTGCCGTGCTGCTGAGCTACAGCCCCCACCCTTGCCCCCCTCCACCCGCCCTTTTTTAAAGCTATACAAAAATATATTTGTTTACCAGCCCGGTAGCCAGAATTGGTTTTTTTGCCAGCATCCCATGATATCATTTTTTGAAAATATAGATAAATACAATTATTTCAAGTTAAAAACTATTAGCTTTATAAGCAGAGAAGACCTTGGGTAGCTGCATGTGATGACAGAAAGCAAACACTTCTTCACTGGTGTTTTATTTTTATACAGCTTTGAGAAAGATTCTTTAGACATGGGAAGTCCCAGGTAAATAATGAAAACAGTATTTTAAGGCTTTAGCTAACAACTATAGATACGAATTGTTCTGGTGTGGTTTGCTAACTTTGCATTCTTCTCCTCCCATCCCCAAGGTAAAAAGAAAATTCATTTGCAAAGGGAGAAAATGAAGGCCAAACAGAAGCAGCCCCAGCTCTGCAGGCTCGGATTCAGCGTCCCGGAACCGAAGACGAGGCTCTCCTCAGAACACACACTGTCTGCCCTGCGGACTGAAGGAGACTCTCACTTCCTCTTTCCATGACAGAGCCCTGGGTGGAAATGTACAGCATAAACTCTCAAGACAGAGGCTAAAAGCAACTCTGCTCTCCCTCCCCCAGACTTTTCCTAGGAAAAGTCAATAATTAAGCAAATTGCTTAACACTTGGTTCCAGTTCCTGCATATCTGGAGTTTAAATGCATAATACACCATTAATTTCCATGCTGCAGTTTTTATTTTAAAGAAAGTAACATGATGTCCCTATATTGACACTGAAAATTTATCCATTCTAAAGCCAGGAATTTCCATGTCACACAAGAAAAATAGAAGCCTACTGAATTAATGAATTTTTTTTTTAGAAGAAAAGAGATCAGAGTTTAAATATTTCTTTGTTTTTCCTTTTGGAAACTTTTATGTATAATTCTTTCTGCCTGTCTACTTTTCTGCAAAAATGAGATGTACAGATTTCAGTTCCCTGCAATGAAAAGTGATGTGGTAGCAGTTCTATAAATGTTGCTTTCTGATTTTTATCAGAGTGAGAGAATAATTAAAGTTATTGATTTGCAAGTAGTAAACACTTCATATTTTGATTTCCCCTCCATTTTAGTTTAATATAATTTGCAATAAATGTACATATTGTTTGTTTCACAAACCATATCACTTCACAGTGGTTTTTACTCCCACGACCATGGTAGAGTATTGGAATTTTAAAGGTGTGAAGACTGTTCAGCATTTGGTTTTATAATATTGGTCACCAGATTTCTATTATTGATGTAAAAAAATCAATTTTTTTAAATCATTGGACTTTGGCAGCTTTGTAAGGAAAGTTGGAGGTGTCGAGGGTTGCTCTCAATATTCAGCATTGTGCTATTGAGAAGTAAGTGGTTTTTGTCTGCTGGTCTGGGCTCAGCTTTTATCTTCATTTTAGAGACACCTATTGCAGTATGTTATGTTTCTTGGCATTGTCCAGCATAGGTAATGTGTGTACTTTTGTGTACACATAATCATATTTAAGTTTTTTGCATAAAATAAATGCTTCTAGATGTCATGGTAGTCTTCTGATCTTTTTATATTATGCTTGTGAACTTTTTTTAAGGGCTAAAATCGCAGAGACACGATTACAGTCAGCTCTCCATTATCTATATCGAGTGACTGCCTCGGGCTCTCGGTTCTGAGGTGCTCGGCTGTGCACACAGACCCTGAGGGTGTCCCGCGGGGCCCAGGTTAGAGGGAACCTGGGATGCACCTTCTTGTGCCCAGTACACCCAGCCCACTGCCACCCTATGCTCCAGCTGAGGCTCTGGCAGAATGTGCTATTTCCGTACACAGCACACATTTGTATTACAACTCGGTCTGCATAGGTTGTAGCTACATAGGACATAAAACGAACAATGAAATTCTCCAGAAAGGAAGATTAAGAATGAAATTTTCAATCCAGGCATCCACTCCTGTAATCCTAGCACTCAGGAGGCTGAGGCAATAAGTCACAAGTGCCAGCCTGGGCTACATAGCAAGACCTTGTCTCAAAAGCCACACACACCTAGAAAAAATGTGCCAGCCATCTTGGTGGCACACACCTGTGATCCCAGTTACTTGGGAGGCTGAGATTAAAGGATTCCAATTTTGAGCCCAGCCTGGGCAACTTAAGGAGGACCTGTCTCGAAAGATAAAAAGGGCTGGAGGTGTACAAAGTGTTAGAGCATTTGTGACATGACAACCCTGGGTTCAATCCCCAGTACCACCAAAAAAAATTCACTGATAGTAAACATCACTTATTTTCATAGATAATCAAGAGTTGGCTGTAAATTGACAGTGAGTGAAAGATGGATAATTCATTTAAATATACATATATACATCAATACACAATTGGGTATCAGAAGATGATTAGGGAACAATAGAAACTCTTAGAAGAGCAGAAAAGTTCTCTTCCTGTTTATTGCCTCTTCATAACTCTTTAGAAAGTACAACTACTGCCTCCAACATGCTGGACAAGAATATCTATGCAGAAGTATCGAGAAAGCCCCTCAAGCAATCAGTGGATGTGTTAGATTTAGAAGTTTTCTTGGCATTGGGCAATTCTCTAAATTTTTTGTGGTGCCCGGGATGGAACCACAGGCCTCATTCGTGACTGCTCTCCCATGGAGCTGAAGCCCAGGCCGGACACTGACTGCTCCCACCTGCAGTTTGTCAGCAGCACAACACACACTGATGCTGTGGTGCTGTGCAGTTGGTCAAAAGGAGCAGGAGAAACGGGGTTCCAGGGTGTCGCTTCCTGTTGCACTAAGTGTAGCAGGGACATTGGTGTCAGTGTCGGGCTATGCAGATGTTGGCAGGGGAGGAGCTGAGTAACGGATCTGTAGCTCATGGGTCTGTCTGGCCCACCCTTGATTTTGTAGGATGACACTTAAGTGTCTGGCACCACGGGAGGGAGAATAAAATGGTTCAAAGATTAAGCTAATGGAGAAGGACTTGTTTACAAGAAATTTGTCAATTTTCCTTTGAAAAAGAAAACAAAAGTTATTAGGAATTTGGTATTCACATCTCAGAGAAATACAACACAAAAGTGCAGACTTATATTTGAGAATTAATGTTAACCCTTTATGTCTAGGTTGAAGCTTCTTGTATTTGTCTAAAACTACAAGCCAGAATTTTGTATCTCCTTTGATAAAAAGTGTGTATAATGTAAAGTAGTTTTGCATATTCTTGTGCTGCACATGGGCTGAATTTTTAGAATTTTTTTAAAGACTTGAAGCAGAACCTTGTAATTTGTGTAAATGACAAGTGTAAAATCCTACCATAAAATGCTAAAAATATGCACTGTTTCGAATAAAACCAAGAAATGCAGCATTATACAGTAGTGTGGAGCCCTGCATATTCATGTACCCCTGGTTTGTCAGAAGTTCAGATGTCTTTGCATTTCCTGGTGAGGGACCAGGGGCCACCTCACTTCCTGGCCAGGGGTACCAGGCCAGCATCCGGAGACAGGAAAAAATGGAATGGATGGTAATTCTGGTGGGCAGCTGGAAAACTGGAGAACTTGTTGAAACAGATCTTCAAAGCACCCTTTCCTTCACACTCCCCTATGGCACCTCTATCACTGATAGAAGTGCATGGATTTGTATATTGGCGTAAGTGGTTTACAGCGAGTGAGTGAGCAGAGCACAGATGAGTCTGGAACAAGATGTCCGCACAGTGAGACAAGGGCAGTGCTCAGGCCTCATCGTGTATTTGACCTTGGTGGATCTTTCCACCCCCAGCTCCTGTACAGTTGGCCCTTTCCTGTCCATGAACCCAGGGCCTCCACACTGTCTTAGTTACTTTTTCTTGTTGCTGAGACAAAATACCCCAATACCCACAAGTTAAAGGAGGGAAGGTTTATTTAGGACATACTTTGTAGAAGTTTCGGTCCTGGCTTCAAGGCAGGGTGGCATGGCAGAAGGGTATCACACAGGAGAAAGAGTTCATGGTGGGTAGAAGGTAGCAAAGCAAGCAAGGGACAAGACAAGCCTCTTTCTGTCCCTTATATTGTATCCAGAATACCAGGATTAAGGTGCCAAGCCAATCAGTGGACTGATTTAGTAATGACCCACCCTTAATTATAGCACCCTTAATCCTACCATTGCACTGTTAATCACTCTAGATTCAGCCACCTCTGAAGAAGCCTCACTGCATGAGTCTTGGGGGGCATCTAGACACAAGCTATAACATTCTGCCCCTGCCCCTCAAAGACTCATACATATCTCTTTAATCAAAAGTCATTGGGCTGGGGATTTAGTTAAGTGGTTCCGGCGCCTGCCTCGCAAGCACAAGGTCCTGAGTTCAATCCTCAGTACCAAAAAAAAAAGGCATTTAGAGCCAGGGATTTAGCTCAGTGGTTCTGGTGCCTGCCTGTAAAGCGCAAGGACCCGAGTTTGATCCCTGGTACCAAAAAAAAAGGCATTTAGTCCACCTCCGAGAGTTGCCAAAGTCCTAACAGTTTCAGCATTGCTGAAAAGTCCAAGTCCAAAGTCTCTGAGATTTGAGGCAAACTCTTAGCTGTGAGCCCCTGTACAAATGAAAAGAAAGTTAAACACTTCCAACATTCAATGGCACAAGATAAAACACTATCATTCCAAGAGGTAAAAGAGGGGTATAGAAAGGAATGGAAACAAAGCAAATCAAAAACCCAGCAGGGCAAACAAATCCTATGCCCAGTATCTGAGGGAATCTGTGGCAAAATATGAACTGCAAAAGGCTTGAGTGCTGTGCCCCTACAGCACTCCCAGTGGTTGGAGATCCCATGTTTTTTTCTTGGTCAAGTTCTGCTCCCTCTTTGCATTTTCCTCAGATGATCTATGTTCCTGGCTTCTCCAAACTTCTGGGGTCGCCACTGCATCTTTGGCTTTGCACTCACAGCTTCACACACTGCCTTCTCAGGGGCACATTGCCTGGCCTCCCAGGCCTTCTGAAATCTGGGTGGAATTTTTCCTGATCCCACAACTCTTGCATTCTACATGGGCCTAAAACCAGCAACATACACATGATGCCAAGGTCTGCTGCCAGCTGGAGCAATAGCCAGGCTTCCTTCTCTCTTGGCTGTAGAGGTTGAATGGTTGGATCGCTGAGTGCTCCGAACCCAATCAGGAGGAAAAAATTCTCTAGGCTGCCGCCATTCTGGAACATGGTGCTCTGGGGCTCTCTTCTCAAAGCAAAGTGTATCACTTTTGCATTTCTGAGGCTGCAAAGGCTGGAGTCCTGCTGATTCTTGTGTTGTCCTTAGACTATCTTTTCTATTGTCCTCTAAAATACTTGGCTTTTTCTTGATAGTCTTTTCAGCGACCAATTTCTCCTCTGTTCCATCTTTGCAGGTCCAAACTTACTGGGCCTTCCTTTCTGGCCAAATTCACATTTTGAATCATTTGGCTGGGTTCTTTGCTCTTGATTCTCAACATAAATCTGGCTAAAAACCCCCAACAGTAGCCATGCCACCACCTCAACATTATAGACTGTCTTGAAATTTCTTCTTTGGGGCCGGGGATTTAGCTCAGTGGTTTCACTGCTTGCTACGCAAGTCCAAGGTCCCGAGTTCGATTCCCGGTACCAAAGAAAGAAAAAAAAGAAATTTCTTCTTCAAAATTAATTAGTCCTCCACCCTGAATCTCAGTCTCAGGCAAAGGCTGGACAGGAGCAAAATGCAGACAAACTTTCTTGCCAAGGCATAATGCATCATCTGGAGTCCAACAGCCAATGCAGTCATTCCTAGAAGAAACTTCCTGAGCCTGGTCTTTACCAGGGGCATTTCTATCAGCTTTCTGGTCTTCTGAGCTCTGACCAGAATCTCCCATCAAGTACAGCCTAAGGCGTTCCAGCTCTGCTTTTTCAGGTGGCATTCCAAACCTTCCCTCATTCTTCCCTTTTCCACAAGCCAGTTCCAAAGGTTCTTGAGCCACAGGGACAGGTAATGTCACAGCAACGACCCCACTTCTCTGGTACCAGATTCTGTCTTAGTTACTTTTCTCATTGCTGAGACAAAATACCTGACACCCAAAGTTAAAGGAGGAGATGTTTATTTAGCTCACAGTTTGGAGAGGTTTTCAGTTCATATTTGGCCAACTCCAATTCAGGGTGGCATGGCAGAGGGGCATCACAGAGGAGAAACAGTTCATGGTGGACAGAAGGCAACAAAAGCAACAAAGGACAAGACAAGCCTCTCTCCCTCATATTGTGTCCATGCTACCAGGATTAGGGCAGTGCCAAGCCCATCGGTGGACTGATTTAGCAATCACCCACCGGTAATCCTAGCCTTGCACCTGAATCATCACACACTGTAGATCCAGCCACCTCTGAAAAAGCCCCACCTATGACTGCATGAGGCTTTGCGGGGACATCTAGACACAGCCATAACAGATACTGAGCCACATCCCCAGCCCTTTTTCTTTTTCTTTTGAGACAGGGTCTTGCTAAGGCACTGAGCTGCCCCATCTGGGCTGGAACTTGTGATCTCTCTGCCTCAGCCTCCTAGGTTGCTGGTGTCATGGGCTGTGCTGCACCCAGCCTGGAGGCAGTGTGAATGGGGATGGAGAGACAAGCTGGGGGCAGGGATCATTATGAGCTGAGCCTGCCCCTGGAAGTCCGTAATTTGAGTACCAGAGCCTCTTTTCTTTTTCTAAGTCATGGCTCAGGTGGCACCCAGGTGTTGTGGCCACACCTATAATCCCAGAACGCTGAAAGTCTGAAGCAGGAGGATCCCAAGTTTCAGCCCATCCTGGGAAACTGAGGTGAAACTTTATCTCAAAAGTAATAAATAAAATAAAATAAAATAAACAGTGCAAAGGCCCTGGGCTCACTCCCCACAACAGAGAGGCAGAAAGACTTCTTGGTCCTCTCCATACCCCACTGCTCAGAGCCTTCACTGATAGATCACAGGGCACCACCACAGCATGGCTGTCAAGCAGGCCAAAATTCCTAACACTGATTTGGAAGAAAGCATTCACAAAATGTCCTGAACTTAAATATTACAGCATCTGCTGTCTCCTGATTCAGCCTTTCCTCAGCAGTGGTGGGGAAGCTGTCCAGATGCCTGACCTCAGCGATGCACAATTTTTTCTTACCAATCATGTCAGCACTGTGTTTTGAGATTGGAGGTGCTTAAATTTACATTTCCTTTTTGAGACAGGGTCTGGCTATGCAGTTCAGGCTGGCCTCAAACTCACAGCTATCCTCCTGCCTCAGCCTCCCAAGTGCAGGGATTATAGGAGTACATTCACCACCATGCTTGTCCAAAATTTACATTTTCTATGAAGGATGGCATTATCAAGATTCCCCAACAATCAGGTGCAAAAGAGGAAAAGCACCATGTGAACACATGAGAGAGACCAGGGCTCCCAGCAGAGAGGAAGCGGACTAGGAAGATTTCAGCCTGGGTTCACTTCCATTTTAATGTCCCTGCTTACGATTAATATTCCCCAACAATAACTGAGCAAAGCCAGGTGTGGTAGTGCACACCTGTAATCCCAGCACTCGGGAGGCTGAAGCAGAAGGATTGCCATGAGTTCGAGGCCAGCCTTGGCTACATAGTGAGTTCAAGGCCAGTGTGAACTGCAGGGTGAGCTCCTGTGTCACAAAACCAAAAAACAAGGGCCAGGGATGTACTGGGGAGCAAACTCAGGACCTTGTGCTTGTGAGGCAGGCGTGGTACCACTGAGCTAAATCCCCAGCCCAAATTTGGCATTCTTAAAGATAGTCCGTTACTTTACAATCAATAAATATATCCACTGCCTGCCTCTCAAGAGCAAGGACCCGAGTTCAAGCCCCAGTACCAAAAAAAACCCCCCCACACAATAAATAAATATAAATAAAGATTTACTGCTACATTTGGTTAAATCAACTATCAAAGTACGTCTTCTCTTACAAAGGTTGTGCAGGAAGAGCCAAGTTGTCTTGGTTTTTTCCCAGCAGAGCTGGGGATTGAACCCCAGACCTCAGGCATGCTAGGCACAAAGTCTGGCCCATATGTGTGCCCCTGAGAAGTTAAGAATGCCAGCTCTGACCGGGCTTGGGGGGCTGAGGCAGGAGGATTAGACGTTCAAGGCCAGCCTGGGCAATTTAAAGACCCTGTTCAAAATTTTAAAATGAAAAGGGCTGGTAATATAGCTCAGTGCTACCTGGCTTAGTACTTGGTTCAATGTCAAGTACCAGAGGGGGGAAAAAAGCTCTTAACTATTCTTGTAGAGCCATTTCGTCTCACTCTGGGGCACTTCCAACTATTCCATCCATTTGCACATGAACTGTGCACCCCACGAGTCTCACACTAGAAAGAATAAATGGGCTTGTGCATAACACAGTCTGGCTCAGAAGTGTTTCTCAACTCC